TGACAAAGAAGATTGAAACATACAACCCTTCTTCCTGAAATTTATGAATTTTGTCAATATTTTTGGAAAACTGAGTAATCAATGCTTAATGATCAAACTGATCCTCTGATCCAGAGAGGTAAAGAAACTATATTTACAGAAAAGCTTGAATTATGGATATTTTGACATGTTTAATAAATTTTCAAATGCCTGCCCTACAAAAATAAATAGAATAGACCTGTTTATTAATCAACTGACCAATCTAAAGAACCAATTCTCATTTTATTTTAAAGACCTGGGGGGGCAGAGCCAAGATGGCAGAGTAAAAGCAGTAACTTGCTTGAGCTCTCCCCCAAACCCCTCCAAATACCTGTAAAAAATGGCTCTAAACAAATTCTAAAGTAGCAGAACCCACAAAAAGACAGAGTGAAACAAATTTCCAGCCCAAGACAACCTGGATGGTTGATCAGAAAGGTATATCATCCCAGGCTAGGAGAGGAGAGCAGTTTGGCATGGGCGCGCAGACCGCAGCAAACCTAGAGTAGGCCTCGGAGGACTGAATCACGGGCAGCTGTGGTGGTTTCCAGACTTCTCAACCCACAGACACCAAAGACAACCTAGAAAGTTAGCGGGGAAAGTTTGTTTCTGTGATGGTGAGAGAAAAGCACGGGGTCTTAGCTCCAGTTCCCAAGAGTGTGGCCCCTGGGGCAGCAGCTGCCTCCTGAGCTTCCGGCCCACAGACTGAGGAGAAATTGAGTGGCTTATTAGAGGGGGATTGCAGGGCTCTCTCTGCTGCTGCAGGATTCTCTTGCTTTGCCCGTGCTTGGACCAGGGTCACAGTTCTGGGTGGCAGTCCTGGGACAAGGAGGAGCGCTGGCATGGTGGAGCTGGTAGTGGCTGTGGAGAGAAAACCCTCACAGTTCCAAGACAGAAAAGAGTGCTTGTGGTCACTAATAGACCAGAGCACAGTCCAGGAAAGGAGTAAACACCTCACCCTTGATCACAGCATTTTGGAAGAACTGAAAATTTGCAGGTCCCTAGAAATATTTCTGAAAGCAGCTGCCCAAAACCCCTAAAGCTTGGGACAATACATTCTCCACACTGGAAACATATTTTTTCTACCTTAACAAAGAGTTTAAAACTCAAGTAATTGGCCGGGATCATGAGCAAGCAGTGCAAAAAGAGTCAGACTATATTATCTCACTTTGGTGACAAAGATGATCAAAATATACAACCAGAAGAAGACAATGAAGCCAAAGCTCCTACATCCAAAGCCTCCAAGAAAAATATGAATTGGTTCCAAGCCATGGAAGAGCTCAAAAAGGATTTTGAGAAGCAAGTAAGAGGAGTAGAGGAAAAACTGAGAGTGATGCTAAAGGAGACCCAAAAAAATACTGAAGAAAATAACACCTTAAAAAATAGCCTAATCAAAATGGCAAAAGGGGCCCAAAAAGCCAATGAGGAGAAGAATGCCCTAAAAAGCAGAATTGGCCAAATGGAAAAGGAAGTCCAAAAGCTCACTGAAGAAAATACTTCCTTAAAAATTAGAATGGAGAAATTGGAAGCTAGTGACAATTTGAGAAATAAAGGCACTGTAACACTGATCCAAAAGAATGAAAAAATAGAAGAGAATGTGAAATATCTCATTGGAAAAACAACTGACCTGGAAAATAGATCCAGGAGAGAGAACTTAAAAATTATTTGACTATCTGAAAACCATGATCAAAAAAACCAGCCTAGACATCATCTTTCAAGAAATTATCAAGGAAAACTGCCCTGATATTTTAGAACCAGAGGGCAAAATAGAAATTGAAAGAATCCAGCGATTAACCCCTGAAAGAAATCCCCAAAGGAAAACTCAAGGAGAAAATATTGCAAGCAGCCAGAAAGAAACAATTCAAGTATTGTGAAAACACAATCAGGATAACACAAGATTTAGCAGCTTCTACATTAAGGGACCAGAGGGCATGGAGTACGATATTCCAGAGGGCAAAGGAGATAAAAGTACAACCAAGAATCACCTACCCAGCAAAACTGAGTATAATCCTTCAGGGTAAAAAATGGTCATTCAGTGAAATAGAGGACTTTCAAGCATTCCTGAGGAAAAGACCAGAGCTGAATATAAAATTTGATTTTCAAATACAAGATTCAAGTGAAACATGGGAGAGGTAAACAGGAAAGAGAAATCATGAGACTTATTAAGGTTGAACTGTTTACATTCCTGCATGGAAAGATGATATTTGTAACTCATGAGTCCTTTGTCAGTATTAGGGTAGTGGGAGGGAAAAAATATGTATGTATACATAGATAGAGGCACAGGGTGAGTTGAAGATGAAGTGGTGATATTTGGAAAATAAAATTAAGGGTGAGAGAGTATTATACTAGGAGGAGAAAGGGAGAAGTAGAATGGGGTAAATTATCTCACATGAAACAGACAAGAAAAGGCTTTTACAATGGAGGGGAAATAGGGGATGGTGAGAGGGAATGAGAATCTCTTCTCATAGGATTTGGCTTAAGGAGGGAATAACATACACAATGGGGCATGGAAATCTATCTTACCCTACAGGAAAATAAGGGGGGAAGGGGACAAGAGAGCAGGGGGGTTGATAGAGGGGAGGACAGATTGGGGGAGGGGATAATCAAAAGCAAACACTTCTGAGGAGGGACAGGGTCAAAAGACAGAATAGAATAAATGGGGGGTAGGATAGGATGAAGGGAAATACACTTGTTTATACATGTTTTCCACAACAGGACTACTATGGAAGTGTTTTGCATGACTACACATTCATAACCTGTATTGAGACGCTTGCCTTTTCAATGAGGGTGGGTGGCGAGGGAGGAAGAGAGAAAATTTGTAACCCAAAATTTTAAAAACGTGTTAAAAATTTTTAATTTTTTTAATTTAAAAAAAATTTTAAAAAAGTAAATAAGCATGAAAAAAAAATAAAGACCTAGACATTTCTTTTTTTAAAAAAAAATTATTTATTTTTAGTTTTGAACATTCACTTCAATAAAAGCTTGAGTCCTAAATTTTCCCCCTCCTTCCCTTCTTCTCTAAGATGGCATGCAATCTGATATAAGCTATAAATACAGAATCATATTTAACATGTTTCCACATTAGTCATGTTGTACAAGAAGAATCAGAACAAAAGAACAAAACATGAGGAAGAAAAAGAGAGAAAATAGTATGTTTTTATCTGCATTCAGACTCCATAGTTCTTTCTCTGGCTATGGACAGCATTTTGAAATTGTCTTCGATCTTCGTGTTGCTACGAACAGCTAAGTCTATCAAAGCTGGTCATTACACAATGTTGCTGTTACTGTGTACAATGTTCTCCTGGTTCTGCTCATTTCAGTCAGCATCAGTTCATCTAGGACTTTCCAGGTTTTTCTGAAATTTGCCTGCTCATCATTTCTTATGGAACAATAGTATTGCATTACATTCATATCCCACAACTTGTTCTGCCATTCCCCAATTGATGGGCATCCCCTCAATTTCCAATTCTTTGCCACCACAAAAAGAGCTGCTATAAATATTTTTGTACATATGGGTCCTTTTCCCTTTTTTATGATCTTTTGGGGATACGGACCTAATAGTGATGTTGCTAGATCAAAAGGTATGCACAGTTTTATAACCCTTTGGGCATAGTTCCAAATTGTTCTCCAGGATGGCTGGATCAGTTTACAACTCTACCAAGAATGCATTAGTGTTCCAATTTTCCCACATGTTCTCCAACATTTGCTATTTTCCTGTTTTGTCATGTTAGCCAATCTGATAGGTGTGATGTGCTACCTCAGAGTTGTTTTAATGTGTATTTCTCTAATAAATAGTGATTTTGAGCATTTTTTCATATGCCTATAGATAGCTTTAATTTCTTCATCTGAAAACTGCCTGTTCATATCCTTTGACCATTTATCAATTGGGGAATGACTTATATTGTTATAACTTTGACTCAGTTCTCTATATATTTTAGAAATGAGGCATTTATGAGTAACACTGCCTGTAAAAATTATTTCCCACCTTTCTGCTTCCCTTCTAATTTTGATTACATTGGCTTTGTTTGTGCAAAAATTTTTTTATTTTAATGTAATCAAAATTATCCACTTTATATTTCACAATGTTCTCTATCTCTTGTTTGGTCATAAATTATTCTGTTCTCCATAGATCTGAAAGGTAAACTATTCCTTGCTCTCCTTATTTGTTTATTAGACCTAGATACTTCTAAATTCAAATAGATAAGGAAGTCATTTACATGGGGAAAATATAATACATTTGGTCTTCCCCCATTTTTCTAAGGATAGTTAATAGTTTGATTGGTCTTGTTATATTATATTAAAAAGAAATGTTTGGTGGGGGGCAGCTAGGTGGTGCAGTGGATAGAGCTCTGGCCTTGAAGTCAGGAGGACCTGAGTTCAAATCTGACCTCAGACATTTGGCACTTACTAACTGTGTGACCCTGGGCAAGTCATTTAACCCTGATTGCCTCACCAAAAATTTAAAAAAAATTATGTGTGTACATATATATATATTTGGACCTGAACATTTTATGTTTTGGCTACAAGTGAACTGAGTCCTCTGGTTTATTAAGTGATACAGATTTTTTAAAACCATTTTTTCTGTGAAACAAGATTTTCTACTGTAGCTGTTCTAAGACAAAACATGGGTCTGAATTAGTGGTTGAAAAAGAATGAGTAGTGATATCACCAATGGCACCAAATTTTAAGAAACTTTGTACCCCAAAACAAGCCTATCACATTAATATTATCATGGTTATTACTTTTATGCAATAGGAATGAAAACTGCCATGGACTGAATATATAAATATATGTATGTTGTGTTATTTTGATTGCGTATTTAAGATTTATATTCTTATACAAATTGTAATTAATTCTTAATTTCATACAAATGAAAAAATAAGCTCAGAAAATTAAGTTCAAAAATCATTGACAATGACACAGTTCATTGTGAAGTGATGCAAAGAAATAATATCATTTTATTTCCATGTTTTAATGTTACTTACTTTGGCTTAAGATTATAATTCTTGTCACTTCTTTCAACATTCCATATACTTAAAGCACTTGCACTAGACAGACACAATTGGTGCCAGTTCATGGGATTAAAAGTCATCTGGCTTACTTCCACACCTGGTTGTAATCTGCTACACAAAATAACCTTTTTTTCCCAGTTCCTTATAAAGAAAAAAATTCTTGAGTAAAATATAATTATACTACAATTTAATTTTATGGAAAATTTGTCAAATAACATGAAATACATACTTTTGGACTGTGTAAGAATAAATTTTAAAATACAAATATATTAAACAAATGACATTTGAAATATATGAAGCCAAAACTTATTAATTTCCATTGTTAGTATCAGTCATACCATATTCTTCACATTGGCAACCCAAAAGCCCAGAGACTGGGAACAAAATGTTGCAGAAACGAGACCAATTTGTTAATATGTTTATGTCTTAAAATGTTCATACAAATATTGCATATTTATGTAAGATCACTATCACTATTATGACAAGATACTAGTTGGTGTCAATTGGCCTTTCATTTATTTTTATCAGACCATCATAATTTTAAGATGAATGTATTCATTTTGCATTGTATTGAACACTTACTATGTACAAAGTTCTGCTACAGTTAATACAAAAATGCATACTTCAAGTTCCCTCTTATACTAAATCTTATTAAGGTTTGCTCTTCAGTAACGAATTATGTTAACCAATATTTGTTGTTGGGACTCTACTACAGAAGACAAAAAAAAAGATTCTGCTGATTTTATACATGTGTCTTATCTCCCCAAATAAATTGCAAGTCTTTGGAACCAGAGACTATCTTACACATTTTTGTTATTCCCAGAGTTTAGCACAATACGATCCATTTAGTATGGCTTAGTGTTTGTCCATAACAACAATGATATCACTCCCAAACTGAAAATGTAAACTCTGACATGCTTAATGATACTTCCCATGTCTCCTGTATCCCTTTAATAGCAATGTTCAAAGAAAATAGTTTAAAAACCCATCTAAAAAGCCAAGTCTTTAAGAAGTTCACATAGATGGCTTTTTAAACTTAGATTAAAATGTTTCATTCTCTAAATAATAGCTTAAAACATTAAGGTGAACTCTCTTCTAAAGAATAATAAACTTTAGAAATATATAATATTAAATGAAAAATATTTAAAAATATTAACACAAAGTTTCCCTTTACTAAAACAAAAATGTGCAAATGCTGAAACTTACCAAAGTGTCAGTTCATACTCTGGAACTGCAGAGTAACTAGCCAGGTATGTACCACAATAACTAAATCCAAGTAAAGTATAGTCCAGCTGAGCATGCCCTAATGCAGAAAATTACATCTACTTTAGTTATCAGTCTTTAAATTAACCACTGATAAAAAGAGTTCATTTCCTTTTTCTAACTGTTTTGTCATAAGTCATATACATCTCTTCTAATGTACTCCTTAGGTTTTTCCCTATTTATTCATTCTGAGTAAAACTTTTTGAAAAGTTATGAGCATTAGAGCCTAGAGACAAAAAAAATATTAAATCATATTTTCTAGCTCTCAGTGAAAAATTAATCCTTTATATCATAGATTTCCGATAATTTCAGAACTTTAACTAGTCTGGAAACCACTCACAAATATCACTGACAAAGTTATAATGATCTTATATTTAGATTTGCTTCATTTTTTAAAATTTAGCTTACTTCCTATGGTATTTCTGCCTAAGAGATACATAATCACAAATCCCTTGGGCCATATTTAACCTTCAGCTTAATTTCTAACACTTTCAAGACATGTACAAAGTACTCAAGAGCATCACATAATAGATAAGTGTGTTGGTTTTGGGGTCTGCAAACCCTTGGTTTCCTTCCCACCGTTTAGCTGTGAACATAGACATGGAACTTAAACTGAGCTTCAGAAAAATTTCATCTGAAAAATGAGGGGTTGGACTAGGAGGCATTGATGGTTCCTTTCAAATGAAATAGTATTTGTAAAGCACTTACCACAGTGCCTGGCACATACTAAGAACTTAATAAATGTTTATTCCTTTCCCCTTTCTCCTCTCCTTCCTGCTCTAAATCTATGATGTCCATCTGTGCTTCGACTTGTAAAAATATTTGACTTCAAAAATGTTAGCAAAAATAAGCTAAAAGACCAAAACATGGAGATGGTGTCTTTATTAAGGGCTCTATGTGCCTATTTCTCTATCTATGTTTTGGGGTCACTATCTCCTCTTTCGTGTCTCTCTGTTTTTCTATCTCTGTATCTCATACCCATCATCCCCTCATTTTATATATGTTTCTGTCAGGATCTGCCTTTCTCTTTCCCCTCATTTATTATCACCTTTTCCCAAAAGGCTATATATATGTGTGTGTTTATGTATTTTTATTGAATAAGTTGTTGCTCAGTGCTGTCTGACTCTTCATGATGCCATCTGGGGTTTTCCTGGCAAAGACACTAAAGTGGTTTGCCATTTTTTCTCTATCTTATTTTACAGATGAAGAAACTGAGGGTAAGTGATTAGCTAGTAAGAGTGCAAGACCAGCTTTTAACTCAAAAAGATGATTCTTCCTGACTCTAGCCTGGTGTTCTATCCACTGTACCACCTAGTTGCCCCAATGAATAAAGTTATATTATAAAAATGTTTAATTAAAAACTGCCTTTTAAATTATGTAAAACTCAATCGACTTTTTCTGAAATTAGTGCCGTCTAGTACAGCAAGGCAGTACAGTTGAAGTATGGGGCCAAGAAAGCAGCAGTTTCAACCACTTGCCCCAAGAAGTGTACCTGTCTGTCTCCCAAGTTGAGGCTGCCTACGGCCAGCATACAGAAGGCCAGAAAAGTATAGCTTCTGCATTTTGGAAACTAGCTTTTATCACATCACTGTGCATAACCTTATAAAGTTTGGAGAGAATTCACAGAAATTTTCTCTTGTTGCACAGTGTGATTTCAGAATTTGTTTTGCTTGTCTATACATTTTTCTTACGAGGGTTTGGTTTTTTTTCTTTTTCCTCCCAGAGGGTGATGAGTGGCAGAAAATAAATGCTTATAAATTGAAAAAAATTTAATTTTAAAAAGAAAACAAAAAAATACTCAAAAGTCAAGTGATTGAATTAAGTATTCAGGATATTTTTCTCCACTCCCATCAGCACAGTTTAGTTCTGTTCCATTTCAGATCTGGGCCATTTTCCCCTTGCCTTCGGCAACCTAATGACCACAAGTTCCTGGGGGTTCATCATATTCATGGTCCTGAACTTATTTAGGACAAGTGATCAGCTCAGTCCTCTGCAACTCAGAATTCCTAAGCTAAAGAGATCAAACCTCAGCCTCTAAGTAGCTGGGATTACAACCACCGATTCTAACCATTACTTTTTATCAGTAGTTTTAGACAGCTACATGAATAGTAGTTTATTAGTTGCAATTATTCAACCTAAATTTGATCTTAACAGAAACATTGCCATTCTGAAGAAAAACTCCAGTTGAACTCAAGATTCTGATTCAGCTCTCCAACCCACTAATTAATTCTTACTGCCTTCATCCAATCTCTAAGTATATACTTTCTTAAATATCTCCTATTCAGAACTAAAAGTATAAGTTATGTTTTTATAATAAATTATTCTAATTATAGGATGAGGAGGAAATACCTTTTAATTTTGCCTTTCTGGACAATTCAGGAAAGGTGTATATGTAGATAGTGGGTTTAAGCCTGCGATCTGAAAAAGCCACCACTTGAAAAGGAATGTTAGTTGCCAGAGCACCCACTTTTCCATTCACACACTGTAGAACAAACCTTTTCTCATTTTCAATGTTAATGAAAATTAAGTAATTCCCACAAGTGTAGCAAATTGTGTTGTCGTTGATAAAATCAATATTCTGCTTAGGGAATCCTTGCACCCATCTTTAGGAAAGGATATATAGTCATCAATAATTATACATGTCAAATTATTTTTTAAAAGAAAACAAAGTTCATCAAAATTTCTAAAACAAAACTATGCCATCTCCTCCATCCCTCTTCCCTCCCTCACTATTTTTCAAATAAAAAGATCTTCCCAAATTGGCTGCAGGTCCAGGTTACACTATGAATGACTAAAATTTAAACAGATCAAAATCTTTGATTATAAGTATTCATAAACTTTCTTCCAAGACTGACTTCCTATCACTCAAGTAACCCTAGGATGGGGGGGATTCCTAGGATCAAGCGTACTTGGAGAATGAAAAGGGGGAAAATGAAATGGAGCAAAGAGGGCTTGATTCTAATCAAAGCATAACACAAGTGGTCTCTATTTTTTTACTGTGTGTGTTCAAATATAGTTGTCTTCATTAATAGCTTTCAATAAGACAACACAGGATATGTTGAGAATGTTAGTTGAAGTGAAAAGAATCCTTGTTTGCTGAAGCAGGAAGAATGAGATTTCCAGAGCCTATGTTAAATGAAAATCTAATAGTAATTTATGGAGGAAAACAAATAAAGAGCAGTCTCAAAAGAGAAAGAATTAGGGCTAAGTCCTTCCCTTCAGTCCTTCAATTCTCTAGGCCATCTTGCTTATTACCTGTTACCTCATACATTTAATACACAGAAGCACCGATATAGAACTGGAAGGGACATCATACTTCATCTAGTTTAACCTCCTCATTTTACCAGTGAGGAAACTGAGGCCCAGATAGATTAAGTGAGTTGCCCAAGGTTACACAGGTGGTAGGTGTCAGAGGTGGGATTTGAATTCAAGTCTTTGGACTCCGGGGGTGTGTGTGTGGGGGGAGAATTAAGGCTAAGCTGCACATTGAGTAACATCTACAGGAATGAGACAAGGATGTGAGATGAAAAGGGGAGCCATTACATTTAAGCGTTATGAATGGGGATGGTGGGAAAGGTAATAGGCAAATGAAAGAGCCTAGACTGATAAAGAAAGTCGAAAATGTATTAACTAGAGTTGGGTGGACTGAATGGTATACGGAATGAGGGGTAGGGTAGATAGAAGTAATTTTTTAAAAATGCCATATTGCTTCGTATGACGCAATGAGCAAGTCCATCAAGTGCATTAATCTCATTTGGCCTGCTGGAAGAGACGTGTTATCAAAGATCGGGAGATAAGAGCCACAAGGAAAGGAATGGAGGCCTACTTGGTAATCACCAGAAACAGAGGGTGTGGGGGGAGGTGTCAGTAAAAGAGGCTGAACAGGTCGTTAGGAGGCTGAGGGGAGAATCACAGCGGGGGTGGGGGCAGAAGGCAGTGGGCGGTCGGGAAGAAGGTGGGGGCTCCAGAGAATCCCCGGGGTCAAAGGGAAGGCAACCAGGACCGTGGGAGAGAAAGCTTTACAAGGAGCGTTGGGTGGAGAGAAGATGCAGGAGGCGGGCTAGGTCACCTCGATGTCAGGGTCGGTGCGGGCGTGACCTCCGATCCCTCACGCTCTCTGACATACGCCAGGGCTAGAGATGCTCACGGAAATAAAATAGATCTAGATGTAAACAAACAGAACAAAACAAAACTGCGAGGTAGGGAGCTACTTCTACAAAAGCGACGCGGTCAACCGCTCTTCCCTTCGTCACTACCAGAGGCGGGCGCCGACCGTTTAAACTCGTATCCGAGAGACAGTAATCTCGATGCCCATTGGTCCTTCCGGCTCCGAGGCCTTTTAGAAAACCAAGGTGGTTGGTGAAAATATCTCGACGCCTCAGCCAATCCCAAGCCGAGAACGAGTTAAAGGCAGAAAGGCAGAGAGGCAAGAGAGGGGACTGTACTTAGGGCGGGCGTTTCGGCCAGAGTTTGGGCAACAGCGGGTGACTGCATCCTAGGGTAGGTTAACCAGACAAGTGGGCGTGGCTACGCAGGAAATTCTTAACCAAAATAGAGATATGACAAAAGGTAGACTAGATAATGTGTATTACATGAAGTTGAGAAGTTTTGCATGAACAAAATTAATGCATATAGAATAGGAAGGGAAGCTGATTGAGGGGGAGGAAGAGAGGAGAATTGTATTAAATAGATAAGAAAAAAATTGATACAAGATAGTTAGACAACTTACCAGAAATACATAGAGAGTGGCCCAAAAGTCTCACTGCAGTTTAAAGCTTCAGTAGCTTTGGAGCCATCCTGCGTCAGACCGAAAGCCATTCTCTTGTAGGTTTTGTGGTACAAGTATATGAACAGATGGTGGAGCAACTCAGCACTCAATACCTTAAGAAAGTAGCAGTGATGGGGATAGGATCTGAACCCCTAAAAAGACCCTGTCTTTAGGATCTGAACTCCAAAAAGGAAAAGCCCCTGAACTTTCCCACTAACCCTAAATGCTGAAATTTGTGGGAAAGTTGAAGGACTTTTCCTTGTAGGGGTTCAGATCCCTTCCCCATCATTAGGACCAGCCCAGATATTCCCTACAGAAATATACAGAGCCTGGCCCTAAAACAGAGTCTGAAGTCAGAAGTAAGCAGGAAGAATGAGCAAACAAACAAATATTCTCACAATTAAAAAAACAAACAAACCTAGTATAGTGCAAAGGATATTAAAGACACAAACCCAGAAAAGGGAATTCACTGATAGGCATAAGAGATACCAACACTTATCAAAGTGACCAACTCCCTAAAAATTAGAATGAGCCAAATGGAAATCAATAACTCCATAAAACGACAAGAAATATTATAAAACAAAATAAAAATAAAAAGACTGGAAAAAATAGATGCAGCTAAGTCAGCCCATACTCTACTTAGGCAATCCTCAAGAAGATTTTGGGCAAAGCCCAGGAAGTTAAGAAAAAGGATAAGGGGATATCTGAGGTTATTGGATCCTTTTTTCCAGATGTTTTATCTTTGGCCTGAATAATAGAGAACAGGGGAGAAGATGGGAAAACTACTGAGATGGCAAGGCAAAATACAGTAAACATGATAGGTCATGATCTCACAGTGATATACAATTGTTTTTTATTTACCTTAGCCCTATCCCTGTTTACCTTAATAATACTTTGCCAATAGTCTGCATGATATCACGACAAACTATTTTCCCAGGGTCCATAAGGTCAAGTTCTGGGATCCCCAGAGAACCTAGTATAAGAATCCTTTCAGGTCAAAAGCCCCTAGAGTTATCTGGCATGGATTCCAATTTGAAGTAACCTTGTTGTGGTTCAACTAAGATAATTTGCTGGACTCATGGTCAGTAAATATGGAGGACCCATAGTAGCAGCAGGAGATAAGACTGCTTGGGAGAGTGTGGGAATGGATTACAGGTAATGTCTCAAGTAGAATGGACCCAGACTGTGATAGCTTTAGAAGAAAGATTAAGCACCAAACATCTTATCCCCACAAGCTTGAGTACTGACTGCATGGAGCAAACATGCTTTGCAAGACTTCAGTGAGCAGTGTCCTAATTCAGTGTGTAAGATACTTTTCTGTTTTATTAGATCATCTAGTCTTAGTCCCACAGTACTAAACCACCCCAGAGTAGCTTCAGAGAATGCCCAAGTCCCTTGATGGTTGCCCTAGAAGCCAGGTCACCCTCTACCCCCACTCCTGAAATATGTTCATGTGCACATACCTTGTCCATCAGAATGTTAGTAGTAATGATTATCATTGCTTTTCTTCTTTTTCTGTTCTGCTTTTAATGGTGACAATAGCCCCAACACAAAGGCATAGGGGCATAGATTGTTGCTCATCCTTCTTTCTTGAAGATGACCAATGGCATCAGGAGGGTGATGTTTTGACTTGCAAGTGAATTGAATTTCAGTGAGGCAGAGCAAGGCAAAGTCATTAGCCTTACCCTCTCCTTCAGAGTCATTGGAGTCCAGCGGCAAGACACAGGTCAGGACAGCTAGCAATGGTCCTGCCATATGGTTATAGATAGAATGCCAGATCTCTGGTCCCATCTGGCTGAAACCTTCAGGAGACATCACCCTATGGAGAACTATACCAACTCTCTCACCTGATCTAGAATTCCTCTCTACCATCTCATAAAAGACCATTATCACCATTTGACTTTTTCCTGTCAAAGAGCATTTCATCTTTTAATGCCAGGTCTGCTTGCCTGAAATCTATTCACTTAGTTGCAGCCATGGACTTTTTTGACATTCTGGACTGATTGGTTACTTTGTGGTCAATCTAGCACTCTTATAATAAATCACTTCTTTCTTGATAAAAAAAAAAATACGTAGGGAGCATGGAAAACCTATGATGTAGGTGTAATCCTCAAGCATCAAGGTTTTAAGCAGGCTTTACAATATTTTTTAAGGGAAAGGAAAAAATTCTCAAATTTTATATATCAAGAACTTTTTTCTTCTGTTTAGATACTATCATTATGCAGGGATTCCTTAAAACAGTAAGGAATGGTGAAGACTCATTTTCCCAGAAAGCAGGACTACGTACAGCATTCAGCAAATTAGAAGAGGTAAAAGAATGGGCTGTGTATCCTGTATCAAACATACCAAAATAAATGATGTACAATGTCTGTCTCATTTTTCCTGTTATCCTCTACTTGCACAGACTTATTTTCTTTTCAGTCTTCTTTTTCTTTTTCCACTTAAAGCAGGGGTTCTTAATGTAGGGTCCAGACTCAAAGGGGGTCTATGAACTTTCATAAGTATTTCAACATAATTGATTTCCTTTGTAATCCAATGTATTTTATCTTATGTATCTAAAAACATCAATCTATGGAGTTCACAGATTTTACTAGTCTGACAAAGGAGTCCATGACACACAAAAAATTAAAACCCCTGAATTAGAGCATTCTTTCTTACCCTCCTACTGCACAGTTTGATAGCACAGATTTCATTAACTGAGAATTTTTTTTAAACTTTAATGTGAGTGATATTTTTGGTAGGAAAAAAAATGAGATCTTTCCTATTTATCTTTTACTAGGCCTGGGAGAATTCTAAGGGTTATATTGTACAAAAATGTGATAAGAACTTACTTTGAAAAATGAAAAGTATTCTACAAATGCATATTACTATAATACATTGTTACAAATACTATAAGATGATTTTTAATAATATCTTAATGACTTTAAAGAATTAATGCCAAAGAATATTGTGAATTTCACTTCCTTCTCCAGGCTAAGAGAAACTGTGGAACCTAGTGAAGAGAGTCCTGGGTTTGAAGTCAGAAAGACCTGATTCTACCCAGAACACAAGTTCTGTGGCCATGGACAAATAATTTGTTCTATTTTGTGGTTCAGTTGTTTCAATCCTTCCAACTCTTCATGACCTTACTTGGAGTTGTCTTGGCAAAGTTACTGGAGTGGTTTGCCGTTTCCTTCTCCAACTTATTTTACAGATGAGGAAACTGAGGCAAACAGGGTTGAGTGACTTGCTCAGAATCACTCAGCTAGTGTCTGAGGTCTTCCTGACTCCAAACCAGGTGCTCTACCTATTGTGCCACCTGGTTACCCCAATTAGATCTATTTTAGCCATAGGCAATTCTTTTATGATTTATCTTCTAATCTACCGACCAGTTATGATCTGTGTCAGAAATTTGAGATCCTTGATAGATCATTGTTAGAGTCAATCTCATTATTTAGAAATGTTTTAATCTTCTATACAATCAATTTATATGATAAATTAATGTTATAGATATTAAAGAAAGTAACAATTCTAACAATATCTACTTCAAGTGGGCAAATATTTAAAGTTAATCTCTTTCATTATTATGTTTAGGATAAATTAATCCATTTCAACCAAAATTTATTGAGGAAAGTTCAAAGCTTAGACAAAATAAGGCCCTCATCCTAATGTAACTTATCTAGTAAAGGGCTATAGCCCTATGAGTTATAACTCATAGACAAGTAACTATACTAACAAATAAAATAGCACATTAATGCACTAGAGAGGTAGAACTACTTAAACTCATCTCTCAGGGATTCATTTATACAAAGGGTCCTTAATCTGGGATCCTTGGATCTCCAAGGGGTCCATGGAGAGATTTCAGGGGTCCTGTGAATTTGTTTTTTAAAAAATATTTTTATAACTCTATTTCAATACAATGCTTCTTTTGTAATCTCATATAAGTTATTTTATTCATTTAAGATTCCAGCTGTGTGCCTAATTCTCCAGACTCTATCATCTTCTACCATGTCCTAGCAGCCTTTTCAACCAGGAATATGCCTCTGTCCCTGTGGCCTGATCTCCTTGGAAGACTCTTTTGCCTCTGTGGTCTAGTCCTCTAATGGGTGAATTCCTCCCCAAATCTCCAGTTTGAGAAAGTGTTCAAGCCAGTCACATTCACTCCACTCCTGTTCTGGCTCTATAATTGACTCTCTGAACTTCACTATGTCTCTGCACAGGTACTTTCTTTGCCTCATCCCTTTCTCTGTCTTTCTTTTTTGCTTGCATTTATATTCCCAGTGCTTAGTACAGTGCCTGGCACATAGTTAAGTGCTTAATAAATGTCTTTAGAGGCAGCTGATGGCACAGTGGATAGAATGCTGGGCCTGGAATCAGGAAGATCTGAGTT